CAGTGATGGAGCTGGACCGCTGTGGTCGTTAGGAAGCCACGCAAAATCGCACAACCATGCTTTCATAGTTGCACATCGACAACCAGCCGCCGAAGTGGCACATCCTATTGGTAGGGGTAGTTGGTGAGCAGGTGTCTACAACACGCCTGCAGAGGTGGTCAAGGTCTGACTACAAGATCCATTGTGGCTGGGTTAGTAGGTCGCCAAGGGAGTCCTTGGTCATGGAGTCGGAGTAGCACCTCCACTACCTCCTCCAATCCTTTTTTCTCGGCGATTTTTTACTCCACATACAGTCAGCCAAGTGTATTAATTTTCATACATAGTTGCAGAAGGACTAAATAAGCATTGGCATGCTCAACTTTCTCAGTTGCTCAACGTTGCCATCTTCAAGTTTTTTAGAATTGTCCCAAGAGTATGTAACGACTTGGCATCCTCAGACTTTCTAGTTGCAGAATAATATCTAATTAGTTGGCAACCTCAGTAATTCTAGTTGCACAACAATATACAACTAGTTGACATCCTCAGCTTCTCTAGTTGCACAAGAACTCAGATTAGTCCCATCTTAAAAAAATTGAGGATTGCCCAAGAGTATGTAACGACATGGCATCCTCAGGCTTTCTAGTTGCAGAATAATATCTAATTAGTTGGCAACCTCGGTAATTGTAGTTGCACAACAATATACAACTAGTTGACATCCTCAGCTTCTCTAGTTGCACAAGAACTCAGATTAAAAAAAAGGGCAACCTGGTGCATGTAGCTCCCGCTTGCGCAGGGTTCAGGGAAGGGTCCGACCACTTTGGGTCTATAGTACGCAGCCTTTCTCTACATTTCTGTAAGAGGCTGTTTCCAGGACTTGAACCCATGACCTCATGGTCACAAGGCAGCAGCTTTACCACTGCGCCAAGGCTCCCCTTCACAAGAACTCAGATTAGTCCCATCTAAAAAAAATTGAGGATTGCCCAACAGTATCTAACGACTTGGCACCCTCATGTTTTCTAGTTGCAGAAGAGTATCTATTTAGTTGGCACCCTCTGCAATTCTCATTGGACAACATTATCCAAGTAGTTGACATCTTCAGCCTCTCTAGTTGCACAAGAATTCAGATTAATCCCATCTTAAATTTTTTGAGGATTGCCCAATAGTATCTAATGACTTGGCACCCTCAGGCTTTCTAGTTGCAGAAGAGTATCTATTTAGTTGGCACCCTCTGCAATTTTAGTTGGACAACATTATCCAAGTAGTAGTTGACATCTTCAACCTCTCTAGTTGCACAAGAATATCTCATTAGTTGGCATCATCAGCATTTCTAGTCGCACAAGAATATCTGATTAGTTGGCATCATCAGCATTTCTAGTCGCACCAGAATATCTCATTAGTTGTCATCACCAGCATTTCTAGTTGCAGAACAAACAGGATATCAAATTGCCATACTCAACTTTTTAATCTAGTTTTCCAGAGAACAAATATTTGTATGTAATGATAATTAATCACCTCTACCTTTTCTAGAGAACAAACAGGATAGTCACAAGTTATTTTTTCTGTATTCTCAAAATGTGTTACAAACAAGATGTTTTGCAATGCAGAACCCTAAGTAGTTGCACACTAGTTTCACAATGTATTTGACACACCTTTTTTTTTACTTCTTTTAACTTACTAATTTTCACAATCCATTTACAATATTTTCTGGCACTTCTTTTGCACAGAGTGGTTATGTATGTTGCACAGTTTGCAGTAAATAGGTTGCACAGATACAAAACAGGAGATTTGTTCAGTGTTTTTCTCACAAATTTGTTGTTCTAATGATGTGCAGGTTTATTTGTCAAGGACCTGACGTAGATTCTGCACATAATTCAATGCTACAATTCTTATACACTGCTATTTGGACGAAGAAAGAAGATTCAGATGGCAGAAAATAGTTTTCATCCTTTTCTGTTTTTTCTTTAGTATATTGAACATATTTTCCCTACTGCATTTTCTATGTGACAAGACTATGTACGCTTGATGTTACTATGTTTTGTGCTTTATTAGTCTGCTTTGTTTTTGTTGCACAGATTGCAGCAAAAGTTGGCATGGATCCATGTGTGGTTGCACAAATATCATTTCTTTTGCACAGACACTACATGCAGTTTTATTGTTCTATCTGCAACTACACATTGTGTTTATTTGCACATATCCTGGCAAAAGTTGGCTTACATTCATGTTTAGTTACACAAATAGATGGTTTTTTTGCACAGGCACTACATCCTGTCTATTTTTGCATATGCAACTACTCCTTTTTTTATATGCACATATCCAGGCAAAAGTTGGCTTAGATTCATGTTTAGTTGCACAAATAGATGGTTTTTTGCACAGGCACTTCACCCTGTCTATTTTTGCATAATGGTAGGTTTATTTGCACGCATCCAGGCAAAAGTTGGCTTGGATCCATGTTTAGTTGCACAGGAAAGTGTTCTATTGTGCAGAGATCATATTCAACTCAATTTGCTACTTCATGTTCCTTCTTCCTTCAACTATGGAGAAGACCGGAGAAGATTTGTGGCAGATCCAGAGGGAAAGGGAAGGGGAAAGTGAAGAAGGATGATCTAGAGGCTAGAGGGAAGTTACCTGATGCTGCTACCTGCTATGGCTTTGTACTCCCTCTTCTTAGAATTGAAGCTTTTCTGGCCAATTTCTTCACCTAGTTTTGCTCTGCCATGGCAGCTCTGTAGGGTTTGGATCTAGGCCTGGGATACACTTTTTTCGTGGAGAATCAAAAGGGCGACCCGTGGGGGGAGGAAGTGTGGGCGAGCTGTGCGTGGGAGGCGTGGGGATGTGGTTATCACGTGACAGCGATGGGGGAGATTTTCTTTTTATTGGGAGCGTGGGCAGTCGGGTAGGAAGGAACTTTCCTTCCTGGGACCAAGGGGGACAGGAAGTTGCCTTTTATGGCTGGCCGCTCCATCGCGCTAGTGGGCAGCCGGCCGCCCACTAGACGCTCCCAACAAAATTTCGGTGTGAAATCAAATAGAGAAACAAAATTTAAAACGGTGTTAAAAGAAGAATTTTCTCGTGCTTTTTGTCGCACCACGACAGCGAACGAGAGCCCACAGCTGGGCCACGGCGCCGCAGCCAATCGAGGATGCCAGCCCCACCTGCAAGCGACAGAAAAAGACAACCCCACCACGTTTTCCAGAACGTCTTCCACCAAGCTCGAACCGACCACAGCCCACCCCACCCGTCCCGTCCCCTCAAACCAACGCACGAGCGAAAACGAAACCCTCTCCAGGATCCCGCGAAGCGAACTCCCCCCTCTTCCCTCTCCCGCCGCGCCCCCAAAATCCGATCGGCGGCCACCCCGCCGGCGGCGCCCAATCCTAGCGGCCAGGGGTTGATTCGAGCCTGCCCCGCGAGGAATCCGAGGGATTCGAGGCGGATTTCCTCCGGGGTAGGAAGGATGATGATGGGGTTCATGATGGGGAAGAGGAAGGAGCTGGAGCAGGTGGTCGACGGCCTCTGCGACTTCTCCCTCTCCGGCCCCGCCGCCAAGTGCCGCCGGCTGGTGAGCGCCCCCCGCATTCTCTCCCCTTTCTCGCGCGCCTCTGCTTGCTCGAGCTCCCGTCACGCGTCCCCTGCTTGCGCGCAAGCGGTTACGCTTCCAGTCGATGCTTCTGGTGCAGTTCATGCTCGGATCTGTCGTTTCAGATTGGGCAATTTTTTTCCAGCTCTGCTGGTTGGTTGAAGTAGCTGCTGGCTCCGTGTGCATGCTAGGTTTGCTACTGGCTGGGTGGAGTACATCTGTTGTATCAGGTGGTGGTTTGGTCTTCAGTGCATGCTGGGTGCTAACCACCCTGTAGACTTAGTTTTAGCTAGTGGTTCATGTGTATTGCTAGATGGATACCAGTTTGTGTGGCACTTTGGCCGGCTGCCTCGACGTTGTGCTTCTACTGTGTTTTGAGAAGCATGGTGAATGCGCTGCTTAATTGGTTGTTACTTATCTTGCATGTGCTTCATTTCTGTCATATATTAAACAGATTCGGGTAGGAGTTGCTAGAGGGCACCGGCATGTGGTTTTATGAAGTTTATGTATGATAAATGTAGTGGATGAGCTGGTTTGTTTGATGAATAAACCTCCAGGTAGTGTCATGCTACTGTAAACCTCCAGGTAGTGTCATGCTACTGTATTTTACACAATTACAAACCCAGAGAATTAAATTAATGTAATGGTTTAGATTGCACTTCAGTTCATCGCCACACTTACTATCTTTCTATCTATGCTAGTATGCCTACTGTCAAGCCCATGGGCTGTGTCAGTGGCTATATATAAAGCAGTTCCATCCATGCATTTGCTTGATCGATTATATATTGTAGAGTTGCAGTCAATGGCATGCTTAATCTCTGCGGTACCTTCTCTTTACTGCTTTACAGTTAATTTAAGTGACTTTTTTTGCCCTTTCAAGATACTTTTGCAATTAACATCATCTTTTATGGCTCAAAATGTTTCACTGGGATAGCTCATTTGATTATATGCAGTTATGGATATACTTTGATAGCAAGTGTTAATTTCTTTATCTGTGCATTTACCAATGCATGTCCTCTGTTGGTATGAGCTTCAGCATTGTAAACGTTTATTGAGATATTCTGCTTAATAAACATATTGTTTCCTTGCATTCAGTTTAATGACCAGTATTAATGGCAAGTTACACTAGGAAGTGCATATGCATGTTGCATTTTTCAGTGCTTCTGTCTAAATGAGCATTCTTTCACTACAGGGTTTATCTGTTGCTGCAAGTATTTTATTCAGACATTTCTTGCACCTGTTACATTTTGCTGAATAAATGTTGCTTATTATTTGAAGGACCCTGGTCTCCCACCTAGTTTGGAAGAAGAACCACCGTGTCCTTCCATCCCATATCAACATCAGATGCTAGGAGAGGAAATCAGCAGTGGTGCTAACATGCCCATTGTGGAAGATATGATAGAAGTTGCCATGCCATCTCATCTGTCTAGCGAGGACAAGGCACTTGTTATATACAAGCCAGTAAACAAGCCTACCCTCTTTGGTCTCAGTATCGCAAACCCTTCAATCATAGTCAGTTCAGACTTGATACGTGGATTAAAGAGTAAGTCGATTATGATCAAACTTTCATTATATTTGTATTTGTCTTCTTATGCATGTTACTATTTATAATACTGCAGTACTCACATTGTGCATGTCTAACATGTTCTGGGTCAAATGTCATGTATAACAGCAGTTATTGTATCAACATTCTGTAAGCATGACGAGAGTGTTACATTCACGCCTTAATAAATAAGTTAGTGAGGATTTGAGGCTAGGTTTTAGATAGAAATCGGAGAGGTAGAAGAACAGACAAGAGGTGAGGCATGTAGAAGGTGAGGCAGTTGCGTGCTTCTGTTCTGTTCGATCTCTCTGGCTCTCTCTGATTTCGCTGCGTAGGGGCCAACTCACCACAAAGTCCTCCAAGGCCTGTGTCGCCACTCTGTCCCATTACTGTCACACACACAGCCCATAACAGTAAGAAACTGTGGCATAATACTTCCAGTGGTGCTATATGCAAGTATGCACAGAACTGTAAAGGTCCAAGTGTTTTGTTGTGCCATGTAGCTAGTGCATATGAACATAACTGGATTCCTAAATGAAACATGGTTAAAGGGGGAGGTTCCCTCCATAACTGTACTCTGTTAGGTAGAAATGAGGCACCCTGCGGAGGCTGTGCCTCGAACGCCAGTGGTCGAACTCACAGGCGTGTGCTCTAGCCAACTGATAACAGCTTGGTCCTCATAACTCTGGATTCCTGTACACATGTTTCCTCCCATGCAGTTTCATCTCATATGCATTGCCTATTATTGGGAGGTAAGACGACGGTCAATTCTAAAGAAAACACATTCTGCATGTTGATACATTCGGGCCCTGTTGCACAGCATGATGTGCTTCATACGGCTTTTCTTTTCTTAGTATTCTCGTTGCTAACTTGTTTGTCCCCTGTTGTGCTAGATTTTAGCCATACATGCTTTTCAACAGTTATCTTATTCCTTTAGTTTTTGTTTGGTCTGTTCTCTATACTTTGAGCATGATTGGGTTGGGTCCCGTTTTCGACAACCTTCCTGTTTGCGAGCCACGTAATATTTGTCTACTTGTCTGTTGATGACATATAACCCCATCATTTTCTTTCTCGTCTCTCAGATCAACCTTTCAATCAGGGGAACTGTCATGGGCTGGAGGACAATTCTCCTGAGCGCAGCAATTGCTTGGCCTTAGTTCCTTGGTCGCCACAGCGGATTGCCATGACATCTGATTGGTCCGCATCCCCACCAGAAAGCACACAAAATGTTGAAGAGCCAATGGACGCTGATGAGACAGAAGTTATTTCTATGGACTTTGAGGAAGCGCCTCAAGCAACTCCGAGGGGAATCGACGTGGATAACATTCACCAGTGGCACCAGCACTGCATGAACCCGCCATCGCTGCCAAACCCGTCAGCGCCAGTCATGTGGTCGTGGTGACAAATCTGGAGATGTCGGCCCCCTTAACCGCAGGTTACTTACACACGAAGGATGAAGAAATTCCTATAGCTGGCCTCCACCGGAAGTGTATGTCTACTTTTGATGGATTGAGAAATGATTGCTATGTGCATAATAGTCCCTCTTTAGCATAGTTCTGATCTTCATCAGTAACGTCAATAGACTTCTGTGTTAGAAACGTCCCTTTTACAGCTACATGACTACATCGTTGGACTTGTGTGTTAGAAACAGCCCTGTTACCGGCTTACTGTTGGTGCCCCCAATTTAATTTGATCTGGTATTGTTGTTGCAACATGTTGGTGCCCTTTGCAGCTATTCTTGCAAAACTTAGCTTGCATTGTGGTTGAGACCACGGAGTATGGCCATGTCTTGATGATGTTAGACAAGTTAATCTATATATGGGACAATGAAGGGGCTCAACTTGTATGTACTCCCTCTGTCAATAAATGCAAGACAGTGATCTAAAACGTCTTATACTGTTTATTTACAGAGGCAGTACATTTCATCAAGCTTGCATTGAAATGCACTTGTGCGTAAATATGAGCAACATGGTTAAATTGACGTCCGCTGACATGTGGAGGTGCCTCTGCACAATCTGATTCCGTAGCCATCGGATGAGCCGTCACACGGAGCGCCAGCGCAAGCCCTTCTCTGCACGCTTCCAGCTCTGCCTGGAATTGCAACTTACGGTAAGCAGGGAACATGATTGCACAAGTGTCATTCTTGTACTACCGGCTGTGCCATCAGTCTCCTCGTATGAACCACATCCAACTTCGCTCACCCTACATCAGAGGTTTTGTTGACCACAGTTAAAACATGTAGGGTGTATTTGATAGCTTGCATCGTTTCCCCCCTTGCATATGTATCTCATCTGGGTCAGCTGAGCGGATGTAGGCTGAAAATCATGTTCTGCATATGGTTTGGTTGCCTTACTGTCTGCGTGTTTGGTTGCCTGTTCACGGTTGTGCTCATACACTACATGGTAGTATTTAGTTGCATATACTCGGTTAGGACCGCTTACTTTGTACCCTATGTAGTGAGCTTATTATCACCTTACATACGATCATGCCAATAAAACAACACTACAATTATGACGAACTGGAGGATGATGAAGTTTTCGTCCCACACAACCCAAACTGTCTAGAAGGCTTGCCTACCTCAATATTGCTCTTTTGCTTGAGCAGAAACTTGGAGTAAGCATCATCTCTGTATAACGAGTCACTCTGAAACCCTCCCTCTGTATACCACATACCGCTTCGCCTAGCATATACTCCCTCCGTCCGAAAATACTTGTCGGAGAAATGGATATATCTAGATGTATTTTAGTTCTAGATACATCCATTTTTATTCATTTCCACGACAAATAATTCCGGACGAAGAGAGTATGACAGAAGAGCAACAATTGAAGCAGTGAGCAAAGAAACACAGTACACATGGAACAAAGAAAACTTAGGCATGCATGATTATCCAAAAGGCAAAAGGCAGGGCAAGTTTACCATAGCTTCTGTGGTGTCATCCTACCACCATATCCAAAAAGAGGGTGTAATCCTACCATCGAGTTCGCCAATCAGCGTGAGGGGTTAGTATATAACACCTCATCAAAATATACAACAAGTTTTAAGCCCGAGCTACCACAAAATGTACATCGTCGCCATCATCATCGTCGATCATCATGCACGTCGTCACCACCGCCACCACCACCACCAGAAGCAACACTAGTAGTAGTGCTTGCCCAACCAGATCCTAAGCCAAAGCACGCTATGGGCGTCTACCATGGCAACGAACACAACACCATGTGCCTTGTTGTCCAACAGGTGGCTAAGTGCAGCAATCGGAGCCTCCGGACTGAAGCCACCTTCCTCCATGACGATGTTGTATAGGTCAAGGTAATGTAGACTGACTTGCTCTCTGTAATGGCGGTTGCTACCTCATTGACGTTGTTAGTCATGCTACTTGTCGTGGTTTTGTCACGGCAGATGTCCTAGTGAAAGGACTTAAGCATGGAGCCATCGCAACGTAGGTTAGCTCGAAGGGGTTGATCAGGACGAAAGACTCAAGTTTACCCAGGTTCGGCCCCTCACAACGAGGTAGAAGCCTACGTCCTGCTTTGAGTTGTATTGCTTGAGTATCAATTACAAGGGTGCGAAATCGCGTGACCTAGCTCTTGATCAATTGTTTCTTGCCCTAACCCGCCGCAGGGTCTCGCCTTTATATGTTGGGAAACGTTGCATGGAAAAACAAAAAAAATTCTACGCACACTCAATGATCTATCCATGGATATGCATAGCAACGAGGGGGAGAGTGTGTCTATGTACCCTTGTAGACCAAAAGCGGAAGCGTTTGACAATGCGGTTGACGTAGTCGAACTTCTTCTAGCTCCGACCGATCAAGCACCGAACGTACGACACCTCTGAGTTCTGCACACATTCAGCTCGGTGACGTCCCTCGCCTTCTTGATCTAGCAAGGTTTCGAGGTTGTAGATGAGTTCCGTCAGCACGGCGGCGTGGTGATAGTGTTGGTGAAGTGATCCGTGTAGGGCTTTGCCTAAGCACCGTGAGAATATGACCGGGGGTGTAAACTGTGGAGGGGGCGCCACACACGGCTAACAATTGATGTTGTGTGTTCTAGGCGCCCCCTCCCCATATATATGATAACACCCCTTAAGAGTCATATTCTAATAACACCAGCCTTATTCTGCACATCCCCCACCAGATCGCCGCTGCCCCTCCCCTCCCGAGCTTCTACCGCGGCAGCGGCTTGGGAGCGCCGCCGCCCCTCCCCTCCCGGCCTTCTTCCGCGGCAGCGGCCTGGAAGCGCCGTCGCCCTCCCCTCCCGGCCTTCTTCCGCGGCAGCATCCTGGAAGCGTCGTCGCCCCTCCCCTCCCGGCCTTCTTCCGCGGCGGCGGCCTGGCAGCGATGCCTCCCCTCCCCTCCCCGCTTTCTCCCGCGGCGGCGGCCTGGGAGCGCCACCGCCCCTCCCCTCCCGGCCTTCTTCCGCAGCAGCGGCCGGCAGCGACGCCGTCCCTCCCCTCCAGGCCTTCTTCCGCAGTAGCGGCCAAGCAGCGCCACCGCCCATCGCCTCTCGGCCTTCTTCCGCGGCAGCAACCGAGCAACGCCGCCCCCACCAGCATATGGGCCTTCTTCCACGACAATAGCTCGGTAGCGCCGCCGCCGAACTCCTCCGGGCCTGCAATCAGCTGTACTTCATCAGATGTGGATTGGTGCTGCCTCGACATCAAACCAATTCGAGCAAGGAGAACTGTGCGCAAGGTTCCTTCATCCACGACAGCTTCTTGGATTAAGTCTGCAACGACCTTCAGAGCAAATCCTCCATCTCCGTTCACCTTGAGCAACGTCCAGACCGCTTGTGAACTTCTGAAGGGCAAGTGGACTGCACGGGCGAACGCGAAAGTTGTGCAGACGGACGAGAAGAGAACTTCCTCCTGCAAACGCAAGAAATCACTGCAACACGAGGTAAGCAGTACACTTCCTCAACCATATCAGTTTTGTTATTCCAGACAAAGCAGTACATGTAGTCCAGTACGCCTACAAAAATGATGCAGTGCGGTTGCTTCAGTTTGTTGTGGGGGAAAATGTAGTGAACTTGCTCGGTTATGTAGTACGCTTGTGTAGGTTCATTACGGACAACGATGCAGTGCGGTTACTTCAGTTCACATTGCAGGGTGATGCAGTCAGCATGCATTAGTTTCGCAGTACCATTTGTAACACATTGCAGTTCGCATGATTCCGTTCATTTTGCCTGACGAGCATGCATTAGTTTCGCAGTACCATTTGTAACACATTGCAGTTCGCATGATTCCGTTCATTTTGCCTGACAATGCAGCTCGATCATTTTGTGTGCAGGAAATGACGTTCAGCAGATACAAAATGCCGCGCATAATTGACAACCCAGGGAACAACAACTTTCAGAAGAGTAAAGCTTCTTCTGAAAGAGATACTGGTTGGGTTACCCCTGAGATTCCTCGATGATTCTTCATGACAACAAACATGGTGCACTACTCTCCGAAAGAGGATTTTTTTCCAGGGAGAAGAGGTAGTCGAGGATGATGACGATGTCACCTTCATCTGGGAGGGCACTCAGCGATAGGAGGATGAAGATGACGACGATGAAGATGAGCCAATAATAGTTCTCAACCTAGAGTATAAGCACGAGTTCACTACGTTTGGACAGCATGTCCGAACAGACAATGATGATGCAGTTGAACACGATGTTGCAGCAGATGATGAATATGATTATGACTATGATTATGTGCCACCGCTCCAAAATTTTCAAACCAATCCACTGAGATATCGTCACAACACTGGATTACCACCACGTCCACCTGCTGCACCCCAAAACAGAGCTTAGCGTCCACCTGCTGCACCGAAAAACAGAGCTCCAAGCAGAGCTGCTGCATCAACTTCGACACTGCGACCACCAACGGAGCCCCGGTCAAAAGTCAATAGTAGGTACAAATCCTCCTCACTATTGCCGCCGCGAGATCCTCAACTACACAGATCTGCTATAACCCCGCCATGTCCAATACAACCCGGCGAGCTGCAAACACCATCGGGTGAACGACTCTACACACATGTAAGTTTATGTTCTGAAAAATAATAATAATAGTTGCAGTCCATTCAGATAACATTGCAGTGCACACTGATATTTCTTGTGAGGTTTGACCTAGCATCTAATACATTGGATTCTTCTGAAAACTTAGGAACATTGCAATGCTTTATTCAACTCGTATGCACTCCTCGTATTTAAAAAACAGAACAGAAAAAATTATCTCATAGAGCATTGCACTTAATGCAGGATAAAAACATGCCGCTGAACCTCATACCTGCCGCTAGAATGAAGTTCACCACGTACGACAAGCCATGGGACTTTTACAACAATTATGCAAGATGTGCAGGGTTTGGCATACGCAAGAGGGCAAAACACAGGACAAATGCCTATATTGTCTGCTCAAGAGAAGGGA